TCTGAGGGGGTCACTGTGAGTCAGAATCAACTCAACTGTGGGTGAGATTGGTTTGGCTGGGTGTTAAGCAATGAAGGAGGGGGCCAGTGTTGAGACTCTGATGGACACAGTGGCCATAGCATGGCCCTGGCCTCACGCCTGGCTCAGGGATGCCCTGGATCTTTGGAGCAGCTGTTCCCCCCGCCCCCCACTTCCTGGGTGGTCTATGGAAGTCTTCGCCCCCCACCCACTCAGCCTGGCTGGTCCTTGGGAAGCTTCTTGGTTCTCATCAGTGGGGAACGACCCTAGGTGTGGTACCAGCAGGCCCTGCTGTGGGGTACTGTGGGTTACACGCTCCCCGACATGGACTCCAGACTGCTGCATCCAGGTCTGTGTGGACCTGGTGCCAGACTGAGGGACAGTCAAGTGTATGGACGGGGGACTGAGCCAGTGGGCTAGACAGGTCATTGTGGGCTGGAGGGAGTGGGCAAATGATTCCACATTCAAATCAGGAGATCTGGGTGTGCTAAGCAGATGAGTCAGGGCAGTGAGTTCATGGCCTACAGTTGGGCAGTTGAGTTTGGGTCGTGAGTCTGGGCAGGTGAGACAGGGCGGGGGTCCATGGGGTTAGGGCTGGCAGGTGGTCCTGGGCAGCCATGGCAGGGTCACAGACCTTGGAGGGGCCACATGACGCATTCTTGGCACGTGCTCCCCTCTTGTGGAGGAAAGGGCAGCACCTCCTCTAGGTGACACTGTGGGTTTGTGCAGGTGCGGCCAGGCAGGTGAATCCTAGGGTCTGGGCAGGTGGGGTGGGGGTGGAGTGTCCTGAAATCTTCAATGTTTCCAAGTTCCCAAATCTGTAGAGACCCTCAGCTGACCCCTTCTCGGGAACCCCGCAATCCAAGGCCCTGCAGGGTGCTATGAACCTGGGTCCAGTCGTAGCACGTCCACACCCCTTTTCCCCAAGAAGCCAGAGCAGCATGCGCTGGGAGGCATGCAACCCCGACATCCTCCCGATGAGGAGTTTCCATATTGATAGCCCCCTGCGCATGGGTCCTGAGGCAGCCCCCTCCCCCCCAAACACTCAGCAAAGAGGGTTGATGTTGAGGGATCTATTCCCGCAAACTCCCCATGAGCCCGGTCAGCCTGCTGACACTGTGTGGATCAGAAAGATTCATCACATCTCTTGAGCACAGAGATTCCCACCATCACAGTCCCATCACGGGAGAGGGGCCGGCCTCCAGCTGACATTCTCCCCAGGGGAGAAGCTTCATCAGTGGGAGGAGCTAGCTGCCTCCATCATGGGGAGGAGCTATCCTTCACCATCCAGTCCTCATCAGGGGAAAGAGCTAGACTCCACCATCTCATCCTCACTGCTGGGAAGACGGCCTCCTGGAATGATCTGATGCGTAAGCAACAATTGCCAATGGCCTAGCACCCACCACCATGCTTCTAAACCGGGGGCCATGCAGAGCTAATTAGGGCCATTATAGGGGATTATACCCGAGAGAGAGCTGAGTGACAACAATTAACAAGGTACACATTTATATCCCAGCTACAAAGACTCCTCTTCCGGTGCCCTGGGGAGTCTGGTGGGACCGAACCACAGAGTCTGTCAGGATAAATAAGCGTGGTTACCCCCAGAGAAATCTGACTGGCCACTTGCTTTGGCTGCTCTCAACGAGGCTGCGCCAGCTGTAACATGCAAAATTAATTTTATGTACCATTTTATGCGCATTTTAAGTAATATGTATATGTTCCCCTTCTCTAATCATGCCATATCACTTCTGGATAGCTGCCATCCTCCTCCTCTATCCCCACATCCCCAGGGATGTCACTATGCATCAGAGTTATTGAAGTCTGAGGTACAGAGTGCCAAACGACGTCCCCAGCAGATCACGGTCTGGACTTACTCAAGCTTGTTGCGTTTTGTGCACAAGGGTCCCACAGGCATCCTGTGTTCCCACCAACCACCAAGCCTCTCGCCCCTGTACACAGGGTAACACCGTGCTCCCTGGCATTTCAATGGCTGTGTTCTGGATGTAGATCACTAGGCCTTGCTTCTGAGGTGTTCAGGTCTCTGGTTCATGGCTGAGGTCCTAAATTAAATGCTAATGTGTATACACTCAAAAAGAAGGAAAACATTTCTGCTTCTCTCTCCAAGATTAGGTCTCAGTCCACAGAGGAGAGAGCATACTCCTTCCCCAACACACACACACCCACCCACACACACACACACACACAAGCACACATATAAACATGCATGTACACAGAGACACATATGAACACGTACACACTGACATTCATGCACACACATACATACACATGCATGCGCCTGGTCCCTCTTGCCCTCAGTTTGTCTGTCCACGCACACCCTGTACCAGACAGTGTGTTTGGCCTGCCAGCTGGAACCTGACCTGGCTCTCTCTGAGCCCCACTTCCTTCACATGCAGGTAGAGTGAGCTACCTGCCTCCATGTGGACCCAAAGAGGAGACCATTGCAAATACCCCTCCATGCTGTGGTCTCTAAGCCCACATCACCTATGACTACTGCCACTGGCAAGAGCTCCTAAGCAGTGAAGATCATGGATATTCTGTGATGAGGAGAGAGCCAGGTATAGGCATGTGCAGTCTTGTGTGTAAGAGACACCTTAGCCCTGGGTAAGGGCCACATTTGTTAACCCTGCCCAGTCCCAGGGCTCCATGGGCCTTGCCATCTCTGTGGTTAAGGGCAGGCAGGTTAGAGCTGTGGCTGTACCACTCTACAGGAGAGATCCTAGAGACCCCAGGCCCTGAGTCTGCCCATTTGCAGTCCAGGGCCACTCAGACCTGCTCACCTACTGGAAGGAACAGCTCAGCAAGAGCTGGCATCCAGAGAGTGGTGAGGACAGTGCTCTCCCTGCTCCTGAAGGCAGAGGGCAGGCAGGGCAGACCCTCTGCCAGGTAGACATCAGCCGAGAGAGATGAGGAGCCCAGTGGGGAAGGCTTCCTCCCTGCCTCCAGCGCTGTGTTCACACAGCTCCAAAGGGACAGTTTAGCTGGTAATAAAATTTCAGTGAAATGTGGGTCCCTGTCATTTTGCTCTTAAGGGTTCCTCATTTTTTAAACTCTTTTGCATAAATCCACATCTTGAAAGGTTTTGTCTATTAATCTTTGGTTAATTCATGCAAACTAGGCTCCTGATTTTTAAGTCATGAACAGTATCAAAAAGCCCACTGATATCGGCCCTCACAAATCTAAAACCCTGTCAGCTCTCCGATGGCCAACAATGATCAAGAAAGTTATTGTCTGGGGTCCCCATACTGCCTTCAAAAGACACAAGCCCCGTGAGCCTGCGCTGAAGGCTCCATGAGGACCTGCCTTTAAGCTGACTTGAGACACTGTCTCTGACATTTGAGCTACGATCAGTTAGAGACCTGGGCACCCTGACACCCAAAGAGACTTCTCTTGCCGCTCAGTCTCCCCTGTGGGCTTCCTTGTCTGGGTTCAGATCTGCAGCAACACCTGTCCCCTTCAGGCCAGGGGCTCCCGAGGCCCAGCACCCTCTCAGGTTGCAGCCCCAGCACTGGGGGAGCCAACACGTGGGCCAGGAGCAAAGCCAGAGATGCGCCCTCCCTCTCAGCTGGAGCAGCCCATCCTGGGGGGCCCTCTAACGTGGCCCTAAATGGCAGCTTTCTCCCATAGCCTCCCCCATTTACTCGCCCGACATGATGTTCAAAGAAGATTCTGAATCCCCTACCCGCCCCTAACTCCTCACCTGTTCCTTATCTGACATAATAAAAGGCTCAATGGCCCAAAAGGGACAGAGTGGCATTTGGCTTCTCTTCAGTGCTAAGTGCCCAGAGGGGAGTGATGTTCTGCTGCCCACAAGTTTAGTGACGACAGTGGCGTGCCAAGTGGCCCATTGTGCCTGTCACTGCAGTTTCTAGTCCCCCTTCTCTGGGCAGGGTTATCACACGTGTGTCCTGTGCGTTGGGATGCGTTCCGTCTTTCCTGAGGGGGTTATGCTCAGTGATGAGCAGGCTTTTCACTCTCTAAAAGCCCAGCTCCTAACCAGGAAACGTCTCGTCTTCCTGGGAAGTCAAGAGGCAACCAGTTTTATAAGAGGGGGGTGGGGGTGGTAGCCGGTGGCCCCTTCTCAACTTTGTCTGATGCCATGCCATTGTAATTGACTTCTGGAGACCCAGCGCAGCCTTTAAGGCCTCCTTTGCATAGGCTCCATGGTGTTCTCTGCGGCTGGACCTGAGGATGCTTGGTGGACTTGACCCAAACCACCATCCTTTGACTAGCACCCCAGCAAGCCAGCCATTGGCACCCTGGAATGCTGAGGGTCCCCCAGGTTGCACAGAATTAGAAGGCCTCCCTGCTGCATCAGGGGTCTCCCAGGCAGCCCCCAGTACCAGCATGGCGGCACCCCATGGGGGTTGATACAGGTTGCCCTTGGTCCCTTCCCTTGAACCCAGTTCCGAAGCCCTGCCACTCAGGGAAGCAGAGAGGCAATGACCAAGAGGAAGGACCCCCCACCCCCGAGGTGGATGGACACCATGACTGCCACCGAGGGCACTCATGACAAAGATGGTGAGTCCCGTGCTCGGCCAGGCGGTGTTCCACCCGCTGTGCATGAGGTCACTATGAGTCGGAACTGCTGCATGGCCACACACCACCACCAACCACCTCTCGTTCTGGTAAGTCTGCCGGGCAGCAACACGGCGCCAGGAAGCTTTTCATCTGAAAAATCGCGTCTTCCTTGCAGCTGCCGACAGGAGGCTGGTCTCCCTCCACACAGAGGCTTCCAGGTCTGAGCTTCCAGGTGGGCGATGAGATGTGCACAGCAGCAGGGGAGCTAGCCCAGTGGGGTGAGCTGATGCCCCTTTCGCCGCTTTGGAGCAGACCCCACGACGCTGTGCCCCTCGTTGCTGCCGTGACAAGAGCTGCAGGCAGAGCTCCGTCCCAAGTCCTAGGAAGGTCCTTGGTCCTGTCTGCTTCGGAGCCAGTGTCAGCCCCGCCCCCTCCTGCACACAACCGTCTAGACTCAGGCTTTCCCAGGACTCTGGTGTCTGGCTGAGCTCTCAAAGTGCAGGCCTGGGTGTCACCTTGGTTTGGCCTGAGTAGGTGGCCTGGCTATCCAGTCTGGTGGGACGTTTGAGGACAGGCTGGTGCCTGGGAACTGCTGTCCCGGGGATGGGTCTTTGAGAAGAGAGAAGTCACTTCCCCAGCTGCAGAGAAGCCCTGGCCGCTGAGGGTGAGTGGCGCAGAGGCCACGCTGTGTTTCTGACCACACCCTCTCCTTCTCACCTGACAGGGGTCCTGGGGACCTCACTTCACAGGGGACACATTGGGGGAGCCTGCTCCTGGCCTGCCCCTCCCCCAGCTGGTCACAGGCTCACCGGGACAGGCGCCGTCAGAGAACGTGGTTGGAGCTGAAGGTGCAGGGGTTCCAAGAAGGATGTAGATGTCTGCCCGGGATTGGATGGGGGGTGGGAGGCTCCCATTTGTCAGCTCAGGACAAACAAGGAAGCCACAGCCAGTGCTTCAGCCGAGGTGTGACCTTGAGGCTGATGAGTGCAGCTGGCTTCAGAACCTGGCCAGGCTGACCAGACTCTCCTCTCCCATCCTGGGGCCCCCACGCCCTGTACCTGGACCCCTGACCTTCCTCCCACAGGCCCCCTTACTCAGTAGACATAGCTGTGTGGAGGGTCACGTCATTATAGTCACACCCCCACTGCGCTGGGGTGAAGAGGGCTATGGTAGTGATATCATTTGTGGTCAATTTGAGACTATCAAGAGTAAAGGGGTGGAGTTTCACCTGTCAATCAAGTTGCCATTTGATGACCTCATTTGGAGGCACTAAGGAGATAAATAGCTCGTTGAAGGTGGGACACGCAGACTCCCTGGGACACATTGCAGTTGGCAAGTCACATGGAACTGCCCTAGTGCCCTGAGCTGGAGGAGCCACGTGGAGACCCCTGCCAGCGCTGAGATGTTTACATTGCCACTGGATCCACAAGACTTTCCACCCACTGGCCTGTGATCTTCCTGTATTAGGAGTCACTGCATCTGTCGTGTAAGTCTGAAGAGAAATTTACAGACTGGTATCTGACATATGGGCTAATATTGGACTTATGGACTTGATCTGGACTGGGCTGGGTGTTTTCTCAGTATTCAATTGCTCCCATATATAAAGCTCTTTCTTATACATATATGAGTGTCTATGAATTTGTTCCTCTAGTCAACCCTGACTAACACAAGATTCAGGACATATGGATGGGGGATGGGCAGAGGGGCCAGACAAAGGGCAGGGTGCGTGGTGACCAGACCTCACCCTGGAGGACAAGGCACCGGCGAGGTTCCCACAGTGGTGGAGAAGCCCTGGGGGACTCGGCCCACTGCAGGGTGATCCAGCCCCACCGTGTCCTAAAGCACTTCTCAGACACTGCAACTTTGGCACACTGGAGGACTGTGGGAACCTGGGACACCAGATCTCACCTTGTGCCTCTGAGTTTGACTCTGGGTGTGACTCTGGGTGTGCCAATTCTCACACTTCAGACAGTGTCGCTGGCTTCTAGCTGTGTGCCCTGCCCCCCCACACACACACACACCAGCACAGGAGCTGCAGCCTGCCATGGGCACAATGTCACCATGACGCCGGGATGCCTTCCTGCAGCTCTGGAATGGTCGTCCCCTGCCTGGCATCTGCCTGTGCCCCATGCTGGGTGACACACACTCCCAGAGACTCAAGGGGACCTCATGGGGGGTGGGGGGTGGTGAGGAGGCCCTCCCTGGGAATTTTCTTCACACTGGGCAGTCCCCAAGGGCAGGGGGGGGAGCGCAGATGCCAACAGACCTCAGGACAGGCACCCCTCGAAGGCAAAGGCCCCCAGACCTCATGTTTTCTCTCCAGGTAGTGGCATGCTGGAGCAGAATCCGGTGTCTGGGCCCTCCGCAGAGAGCCCCCAGGTGCCCCGCCCCCCACTGCACTCTCAGGGCCCCTCAGCCCCATATCCCCTCCACCACCCACTGTGGGCACCGGAAGTTGATGCCAGGAACCCTGGTCAGTTCTATTGGCTGATGTCTTGACTCCTGCCCGGTGCAAACCTCGCTCTCATCTCCCGGTTGTAAAGCTAGTTTTCACTGCAATAACCTTTCTACTCTGTCTCCAAATCACTCCATTAGCATGGGGCATCTCTAAAAACCAATGCGGGGACTCCCTGGCAGAGGGATTCAGCGCATGGCCTGAACTCTCTTTCCGTCTCCTTTTCCTGGTCCTGGCCCTGGGGAAGTCCTTCGACCACCCGCCCCTGTTCTGTGTGCCCCTGGGGTTCATGCAGCCACACACAGACTGGGAGGCATACCACTGTCCCTCCGCAGCTGCCCAGGGCAGAAGCGGTGCAGGCCCCCAGGCAGCGTGGGAGACTCTTACCAGGGGGATCCAGGCACCGGGGTGGAGGCCACCGGGCGGCTGCCTTTGGTGAGGCTCTCGTCTCCGCGCACGAGGGTGGGGGGCGGCTCCTGCAGCAGAGAGAGAAGGGGGCTGGTGAGTCACTGATAGCATTCCCCCCGAGAGCCCCAGGAAGACCCCCACAGCCTCCTCATGCAGAGCTGCCCCGAGACCACACTCTCCCCGCCTGCTATGCTGACCCCGGACTA